TGTTTATTATTAAGAATAAAAGCAGAACTCGTTCCTCTCTAATGCACCTTTTTGAAGTGGTCTTTGCTCTTGAAAGGTTGAGAAAATTTAACAATAAATTTTATGAATAGCAAAGGACATGGGTATGCATCAAGATGTGCATTGCAGAATATGTCCTTCCCCTTCTTGTCTTCTTCACAGTATCACACAGTATCACAGTATGTTAGAGATTGGAAGGGACCTCGAAAGATCATCTAGTCCAATCCCCCTGCCAGAGCAGGAACACCTAGATAATGTTACACAGGAATGCGTCCAGGCGGGTTTTGAATGTCTCCAGGGAAGGAGACTCCACAACCTCCCTGGGCAGCCTGTTCCAGTGTTCCGTCACCCTCACTGAGAAGTTTCTTCTCAAGTTTAAGTGGAACCTCTTGTGTTCCAGTTTGTACCCATTACCCCTTGTCCTATCATTGTTTGCCACTGAGTAGAGCCTGGCTCCGTCCTCATGACACTCCCCCTTTATATATTTATAGACACTGATAAGGTCACCCCTCAGTCTCCTCTTCTCCAAACTATAGAGACCCAGCTCCCTCAGTCTTTCCTCATAAGGGAGATGTTCCACTCCCTTAATCATCTTCGTTGCCCTGCGCTGGACTCTCTCCAGCAGCTCCCTGTCCTTCTTGAACTGAGGGGCCCAGAACTGGACACAATACTCCAGATGGGGTCTCACCAGGTCAGAGTAGAGGGGAAGGAGGACCTCTCTCGACCTACTAACCACCGCCCTTCTAATACACCCCAGGATGCCATTGGCCTTCTTAGCCACAAGGGCACAGTGTTGGCTCATGGTCATCCTGTCATCCACTAGGACCCCCAGGTCCCTCTCCCCTACACTGCTCTCTAACAGGTCGTTCCCCAACCTATACTGCAACCTGGGGTTGTTCCTGCCCAGATGCAGGACTCTACACTTTCCCTTGTTATATTTCATCAAGTTACTCCCTGCCCAACTCTCCCGCCTATCCAGGTCTCGCTGGATGGCAGCACAGCCTTCTGGCGTATCAGCCACTCCTCCCAGCTTAGTGTCATCAGCAAACTTGCTGATAGTACACTCAATTCCCTCATCTAAATCATTGATGAATATATTAAATAATACCGGTCCCAGTACTGACCCTCGAGGCACTCCACTAGTTACAGGCCTCCAACTAGACTCAGCCCCATAGACTACAACTCTCTGGCTTCTCTCCTTCAGCCAGTTCGCAGTCCACCTCACTACCTGATCATCCAGTCCACACTTCCTCAATTTAGCTGTGAGGATGCTGTGGGAGACTGTGTCAAATGCTTTGCTGAAGTCAAGGTAGACCACATCCACCGCTCTGCCATCATCCATCCACCGTGTTATTTCCTCATAAAAGGCTAAGAGATTGGTCAAACATGATTTCCCCCTGGTGAAGCCATGTTGACTGCCCCTCATAACCTTCTTATCCTTGATATGCCTTAAGATGGTACCAAGGATAAGGTGTTCTATCACTTTCCCAGGGATGGAGGTGAGGCTGACCGGTCTATAGTTACCCGGGTCCTCCTTCTTGCCCTTTTTGAAGACTGGAGTGACATTTGCTTTCCTCCAGTCCTCAGGCACCTCTCCTGTTTCCCAAGACTTGGTAAAGATGATGGAGAGTGGTCTAGCAATGACTTCCGCTAGTTCCCTCAGCACCCGCGGGTGCATCCCATCTGGACCCATGGATTTATGGATGTCCAGATTGCTCAACTGGTCTCTAACCCATTCCTCATCGACTAAGGCAAACCGCTCCGTCGACCTGACTTCATCTAAGGTCTCAGGGGTACAGGGCTCTTCAGGACTGCCCGCAGCAGAGTAGACAGAGACAAAGAAGGCATTCAGTAACTCTGCCATCTCTTTATCTTCTGTCACCAGGGCACCCATCGCGTTCATCAGTGGGCCTACATTGCCTCTGGTGTTAGTTTTGTCTGCCATGTATTTAAAAAAGCTCTTTTTGCTGTCCTTGACCCTTCTTGCCAGGTTTAATTCTAAGGAGGCCTTAGTCATCCTAGCTGCCTTCCTACATCCTCTAGCAGCAGCCTTATATTCCTCCCAAGTGGCCAGCCCCTCCTTCCATGACCTGTAAACTCTCCTCTTCCACTTGAGCATACCCAGCAATTCCCTATTTAGCCACGCAGGTCTCTTGGCCCTCTTCCTTGACTTCCTACGTGTCGGGATGCTCCGATCTTGAGCACGGAAAAAGCAGTCCTTGAATGTCAACCAACTATCTTGGGTCCCTTTACCTTCAAGCAGCCCTGCCCATGGGATTTCCCCTAGCAATTGCTTGAAAAGGCCAAAGTTTGCCCTGCTAAAGTCCAGGGTTGCAATTCTACTTGGTATTCTACTAGTCCTGCCACACAAGATCCTGAACTCCACCATCTCGTGGTCGCTGCAACCAAGGCAGCCCTCAACCCTTACTGCTTCGACCAGATCCTCCTTGTTAGTGAGGATGAGATCCAGCAGCGCTCCTCTCCTGGTCGGCTCATCCACCATTTGCAGGAGGAAGTTATCATCCATACACTGGAGGAACCTCCTGGACTGTGGCTGGGTTGCCAAGTGGTCCTTCCAGCAAACATCAGGGAAGTTAAAATCCCCCACGACGACCACGGCCTGTGACTGTGAGGCCGCTCTCAGCTGCCTGTAGAAGGCCTCGTCAACTTCCTCACCCTGATCTTCTTACTTCTCAGTTTCTCCCAAACGATTGAATGTACACACAGAGAAAATGAGAGGGACAGGGAAAAGGATAGGGTTAGGCTGATGGTTAGGCAAGATTCTGTAGGGATAGCTGAAGTGTAGGACATCTGTTTTCTATAAACATTTGTTTAAAAGGCTAAGATAAGAAACAGGACAAGCAAAAAACTGAAGAAACAAACGCAGAAAATGTAAGGGAACAGTAGATAGCAAATTCCATATCAAAGACCAGACCTGGTGGATGGGCTGTTAAAGGCACCAGGCAGAATCAACCACAACTTTGTAGTAGGTCAGGTAGATAGGAAATTACAATATTTGGGATCTGATGTGAAAGAGCAAATTTACTATAGGATATTTAAAGGAGATAATTAAGTGTGCTCAAAAGTTCATATGGAAATGTGCCAAACTTACCATAGGTTGCTTAGGAGAAGGGTAAAATGTTATAATAGGGAAGAAAACATGGAGAAGTGGGCTAAGTATAGTAGGCAGTCTCATGCAAACAAGCTTCAGGTAAGTTGGAAATGTGATGCTCCAGGGCGGCCTGGGATGCAGTGATCACAAGATGGTCGAATTCGAGATCCTCAGGACAGTGAGAAGAGCATGTAGCAAGCTCACTGCCCTGGACTTCAAAAGAGCAGACTTTGGCCTCTTCAGGAACCTGCTTAGTAAGGTTCCATGGGATATAGCCCTAGAGGGCAAGGGGGCCCAAGACTCTTGGTTGATATTCAAGGATCACCTGCTACAAGCTCAGGAGTGTTGCATCCCAACTAAAAGGAAGTGCAGCAGGAGGGCCAGGAGACCTCCTTGAATGGATAAGGAGCTCCTTAGGAAGATTCAAATGAAAAAAAGGCTTATAAAAAGTGGAAACAAGGACAGGCGGCTGGGAAAGAATACAGGGATGTTGTCTGGGAAGCTAGGGACCAGGTTAGGAAAGCTAAGGCCCAGTTAGAAGTAAACTTGGCTAGGGATGTTAAGGATAACAGGAAGGGATTCTACAGGCACATAGCAAATAAAAAAACAGACTAGGGGCAAGGTGGGCCCCCTCAGGAAGCTCTTGGGAGAACTAGCTACACAGGATTTGGAGAAGGCTGAGGTTCTGAATGACTTCTTTGCCTCGGTCTTCACTGGCAAAGGCTCTGAGCACACCACCCATGTCTTGGAAGGCAGACGCAGGCACTGTGAAAATGAAGACCTTAGGCCCACTGTAGTACAGGATCTGGTTCAAGACCATCTTAAGAACCTGAACTTACACAAGTCCATGGGACCTGATGGAATCCATCCACGGGTCCTGAAGGAGCTGGCAAATGAAGTTGCGAAGCCACTGGCCATCATATTTGAAAAATCATGGCAGTCAGGTGAAGTTGCCGATGACTGGAAAAAGGGAAATATAACCCCCATTTTCAAGAAGGGGAAAATGGACGACCCAGGGAATTACAGACCAGTCAGTGTCACCTCTGTGCTTGGCAAAATCTTGGAGCAGATTCTCCTGGAAGGCATGCTAAAGAGCATGAAAATCAACAAAGTACTTGGTGACAGCCAGCATGGCTTCACTAAGGGGAAATCCTGCCTGACCAATTTGGTGGCCTTCTATGATGGGGCTACAAAACTGAGCAGTTGATGTCATCTACTTGGACTTGTGCAAAGCGTTCGACACTGTCCCACACAACATCCTTGTCTCTAAATTGGAGAGACATCAATTTGATGGATGGAGCACTCCGTAGATAAAGAACTGGCTGGATGGCTGCACACAAAGAGTTGTGGTCAATGGCTCAATGTCCAGCTGGAGACCAGTAATGAGTGGCGTCCCTCAGGGATCAGTGGTGGGACCGGACTTGTTTAACATCTTTGTTGCTGACATGGACAGTGGGATTGAGTGCTCCCTCAGCAAGTTTGCTGATGACACCAAGCTGTGTGGTTCAGTTGATACGCTGGAGGGAAGGAATGCCATCTAGAGGGACCTTGACACACTTGTGAGGTGGGCTTGATGCCAACCTCATGAAGTTTAACCATGCCAAGTGCAAGGTCCTGCAGCTGGGTCGGAGCAATCCCAGGCACAGCTACAGGCTGGGCAGAGAAGAGATTCAGAGCAGCCCTGTGGAGAAGGACTTGGGGGGTGTTGGTCGATGCAAAAATGAACATGAGCTTGCAGTGTGCGCTTGCAGCCCAGAAAGCCAACCGTATGCTGGGCTGCATCAAAAGGAGAATGACAAGCAGGTCAAAGGAGGTGATCCCGCCCCTCTACTCTGCTCTTGTGAGACCTCACCTGGAGTATTGTGTGCAGTTCTGGTGTCCTCAACATAAAAAGGACACGGAACTGTTGGAACAAGTCCAGAGGAGGGCCACAAGGATGATCAGGGGACTGGAGCACCTCCCATATGAAGACAGACTGAGAAAGTTGGGGCTGTCAGCCTGGAGAAGAGAAGACTGCGTGAAGACCTCACAGCAGCTTTCAAGTATCTGATGGGGGCTTATATGGATGCTGGGGAAGGGACTCTTCATTAGGGACTGTAGTGATAGAACAAGGGGTAATGGGTTAAAACTTAAACAGGGGAAGTTTAGTTTGGATATAGGAAGGAAGGTCTTTACTGTAATGGTGGTGAGTCACTGGAATGGTTTGCCAAGGGAAGTTGTGAATGCTCCATGCCTGGAGGTGTTCAGGGACAGGTTGGACAGAGCATTGGGTGTTATTGTTTAGTGTGAGGTGTCCCTGCCCATGCCAGGGGACTGGAACTGGATGTTCTTAAGGTCCTTTCCAACTCTAACTATTATATGATTCTATGATTTTACTTCCTGGTGGTCAATGATGTCTATTTGATGTGTTTGTTGGGGAAATCTGTTCAGTTTTATTACTGGCTGAATCTTACATATTTTCAGATCTCCCTAATGTTCACGGAGTTTGGTTTCTTTCTGTGTTCTCCTTCCTTCAAATTTTGCTTGAGTTTGAATGGATTTTCTGAGAAGTATTACACCTTCATATGCTTACACTGAGGATTTTTTTTTTCAAAAGAACGACATATTTCTACAAATATTCCATGTTATATATACAGCAATCCAAAAGTGGGCAGGTTTTTTGCTTGATCTTTGTCTTTTTTCTGTGTGCTTTTTTTCAGATTTTTAAATATGGTTTGAGTTTCCCTTACTGCAACATGTTCTTTTTTTGTTTTTTTCAGGATTGTGGTGTTTAAGCATAATCTTGTTCTTTCTCTTCCCCATTACATTATTTCTAATCTAACGACTAAATAGAGCCTTCTCAAGTACAGGTGTTGGGAGAATTGCTTTAATTTTTCTTGCATAAATGTGGCTTTGTACAAATGGAATTCCTTTTCATATCATAAGGGATTGGGTGTTTTACAAAATGAATTTAATGTCAAAGATTAATATAAGCTTATATATTTACATGTTCAATATTTTGCACATGTGAATAACTTCAGAAACTGATGTTTGTGGTAACCTATTCTGTTCCCATTTTCCACCATATATTTGCCCCATTCTTCTTGTTTTACTACTGTTTAGTACCCGACAGAAGGATTACTTTCCACTGGCAGTCACCCACTGATGTAAAGGAGGTGATGGTGTGCGCGGTGTAGGAGATATCTGCCCAGGAGTCATCTCATCAGAAATTGTATTTCTTATTTTTCTTTTATGTTCTGTGACTTAGTGCTGCATGGAGACTAGTAATTTGCCCTTTAACTCTGCCTCGGTTTTTTTGGAGTCTTTGCAATTTGTTTTCACACTTGGACATGGGATGCTGTATGTCTGTCAAAATTGATGATATTTATGAAACCCTAATCTCTGAAGATTGTATTGTTGGGTGAGCTGTTCAAATGATTGTACGTCATATATCTGTGAGAATTTATCTATGCATGTGAGCCTACTTTGTTTCCATTTAACTCTGGCCTCGCAGAGAAAGAGACCCAAGGCAAAAAATTGTTGACATTCAGAAACAGTGAGCAGCTAAATAAGAATGTTCCTTTTTTAAAATGTTTTAGATGGAATGTAGGTTATTTTAACCAGGAGCTAGTTTGAATTTATGGATAGATATGCAGAGACAGAAAGCTAACAATTCATGATGACAGTGCATTAGGATTTAGTTCTTCAGAACTTGGACGTGTGTGTCTACAGAGGTGGATACAAATTGACCCAGCTTCCTCTTCCGCCTTCTGAGCTGACTAAACAGAGCCAGCTTCAAAGTATGCCATGAAAATATATTCTGCTAAGGGACATATGTGGAAATACACTGCATTTAACATGGTCATAGCAATCACCCAGCTCTGGGTAAAGGCCGAGGAGTCCAGATCTAACTGCATGAACACAGGTAGATGCATCCTTTGACAATATGTCTTTTGCTGTGTTTGAAATTGCTGTCACTTAAGCTTCAGGTGATTCTCTATAAAAAAAAAAGGTATACATTGCATCTTTGATTTATTTGTCCATTTGTTCTTTTCTCTTTGCCTTGTCTAAGGTTATAGACTAATTCTTTGTGAACAAGTAGTGTGAGGCCCAGTCAAGTCCCAGTTTCATAGGAAACCTCTAAGAATTGATGAAATATGAACAGAGTATTCTGAGAGTTGGTTTTCCTGTTTTAATTGAAGCAAGTAGGGTTTTTCCATGAATAAAAATTCTTAATGATTTCTTAAAAGTTAGTAAAGCCAAACACCATTCAAAATGTCTACTTCGGAATATTCTGATATTTCAGTTCTTGCTTTCTTCTAGCACAGGAGCAAAATGTGGACATCCTGCAACTGCTCAGATGTGATAGAAGAAAGAATTCTTAACATATTTTCAAAATTTAGTATGTACACATTCCCAAATAAAACCAGCAATTTCTGAATTTATGATATGATCTGAAGTGTTTGCTTGAGTGAGTTCACTTTTGTGCTGCATATTTCCATTCTGGGTAAGCATTCCAGGTACATAGAGATTTTGGTTGCAGAAGTCATTCTTGCATCACTATGATTTCTGTCCCAGACAGTGTAGGAGGTCCATAATACAGCCGAAGTCAACCCACACAGAAATATTTTCATTGTATTAATTTCAGAAAATTGCTTGATTTTCTATATTAAAAAATATACTTATTATTTCCATCCTGTACTTCCACTTGGTATTTCAATAATGCAGAAACTGCCTTTTCTGTTAGATAATTCCTGGAACGGTTTGTTGATAGAAGTAATTTACAATAATATAGATATGAGATTGTCCTGGGTTCAGCAGTAGCAGTCATTTTTCTCCTTAGTAGCTGTGCTAGTACAGTGCTGTGTTTTCAACTTTAGCCTGAGAACAACAGTGATCACACACTGATGTTTTTAGTTCTTGCTAAGTATTGTTTACTATGATAAAGGACTTTCTCAGTCTCATGCTCTGCCAGGGAGGAGGGGCATGGGAAGCCAGGAGGAAGCAGAGGCAGGACACCTGACCCAAATGAGCCAAAGGGGTATTCCATACCACAGCACATCATGCCCAGTATATAAACCAGGGAGAGTTAGACAGAAGACCCAGATCGCTGCTCGGGTCGGGCTGGGTATCAGTCGGTGGTGAGCAACTGTATTGTCCATCACTTGTGTTTAATGTTTTATTTTCCTTTTCACCTTTTAGTTTTATATTCCCTCATCTTGTTATTCCCCTTATCATTACTATTACTGGTGTTAGCAGTAGTAGTTCTGTATTATACCTTAGTTACTGGACTGTTCTTATCTCAACCTGTGTGAGTTACACTCTTTCGAATCTCCTCCCCATCACTCCAGCAGCTGGAGGGGGAAGAAGAGGGAGAGTGGGCGCTGCATGGTTCTGAGATACCAGCTGGACTTAAACCACGACAGAGATCTATTTTAGGTTATAAAAAACTCTCATTTATTCATTTTAGAATGAAATGTTTTAAGGACAAAGCATCAGAATTTGTTCATAAGAAAAGTTATATTCAAGCATGACATGGAAGAAATCTGCATATCTTTAAGATCCTGAAGTCAGTTACAATTTGTAATCACTATTGCTGCAATTGTAAATTGCAGTCCATACCTACAAAAACAAAAAAAAAAGTACAATTGCTTCTTGGTGTAGAGAATTGTAACCTACACAAGCAGATCAGCTCAGAAGATTCATATGTGAGTGGTGATAAGCAATATTTTCAAAAGTATGCAAGAGCTTTAAGAGCTTTAGGCAGTTAATTTTCATCAGACCGAGACTCCTAAATCATACAGATGTGTTTATGTAAAGTAGCTTTATCATTCAAGACAAGCACCTTGGCATATACTTTTGGTTTATTTATTTTTACATTTTGTTTGAATTTATTTAAATAAGTAAACATTGGGTGGGAAGGTGGAGCTTAGATCCTAATAAAATTAGTCAGGGATTCCTTCACAGTCTCAAATCACTAGTATCTGTTGAGTTCGTTCAGACTAATCAAGCATATGTTGCTACAGTGTAATAATCCAACCTCAAAAGGTCTTCCCTGGAAGCAGAGTTTGGACTGCTATACTCTAATGTGTTGTTTCATACAGAAATCTGATTTATGTCTGGAATTGTACTAACCTATACATTTTACTAATGGCTAGTGAGTTCCTCTGATAAATTAACCTTTTGATTTCTTCGTTCTGCAGTAAATCTCTTCATAAGTAAGATTAGTAAAAGTTAATTTAATAATGTCACAGAAGTTTATATTTAACATTGTCAGTATGGTAGAGCAAGCCAGTTTAAAACCACAGAATTCCTTGACTACACCTAAGCTTTTTGGAGTAGCTAGCTATAACATATAAAGTGCACTTTATGTATTTTTAAACTACCAACACCACTGGATCAATCAAAATCCTTTTTGGCTCATCTAATCCATAAACCTCTGTTGTCATATTTAAAGCTGCTTGCCTGAACCGAATGATAGAAGAATGTCAAAGCCAGCAGATCTGCAGCATTTAATCCTGCAAGAGAGAACACAGCATGTCCACTGTAGTGCATAAGGGTGTTCAATAGGCTTTTGTAAGAGTGACAGAGGATATCCCTGGATTCTCTTGTGAAAGTGTTATGAAAAAAAGTTTGACTTGTGTGTGAAAAAATGAAGATATGTGACAAGTGAGTTCTCCAGGTAATGTATGGCATTGCAACAAGAGAAATAGAATGAAATTAAAATAGACATACAAACCCATGTTTATTTAGGTCTGTTTAATTTGCCAAAAAGTACCCCTAAGTGACTATTGGTCTATAGCAACCAGTTAATTTAACAGGATAAGGCAGGTAAAATGGAGTGGGATAAGCAGAGAATAAAAAAAAAAACCCAAAAAATAACCCTTAAGACCAAATATGTACTCATTTCAGCTCCAGTACATAGTTGGCTTCAGATAATTATTTTGCAGATGTTGTTCAGTTCATTCCGATAGATCCCAAGAATCTTGGTTATTACAGCCTCCTGTGATCTTGCAT